GGCGCGGGGCTGGGGGGTCGGGTCAGAGGCGCGGGGCCGTATCTAACGTGGTCGGGGTGATAGCCCAGAGAACTGGAGACAGCACCCTGGGAATCATGGGGCCGGGCCCCTCTGGGCTCTGGGCTCCGTCCACCCACAGCCTGCCTGCCCCGCAGGGTCACCAGCCCGGCCTGCAGCCAGGGGAGCTGCTCCTTCGGCAGCTGGCTACACCCCTTTTCCAGGCCCGGCTCAAAGTGTCCCTTCTCCGGGCCACCCTGACACCTCCCTGTGGCCACCCGACCTGCCCCTCGGTGGGGCTGGGGCTCCAAGCATCCCCCCCTCCCAACATGCCAGGCGCCCCCAGCGGGGCTGCCCCCCATAACAGTTCTATGCCCGGGGTGAGGGGAAGCGGGGGGCGTTGCAGCAGGGACACCCAGTTTCGGCTGGCCAAGAGAGAAGGGCTCTCGAGGACACAGGACCTGTGGCCTTAAAAACAGGGAGGTCCTGGCCAAGTGGGGCCCGCAGGTCACCGGGGCGGGGCAGGGGGCGCCGGGGGCGCTTCTGGGCTCCGGGCGGCTCGCAGCCACCGGCCAGCCCAGGGTCTGTTTCCAAATGCGGGTGGGCTGGACCCCAGGGCCAGCTTCTCCCACTGCCCGCCCTCGCCCAGCCCCAGCCCCGCAGGGGACCCCTTTTCCTCAACCACCAGTTTCCTTGTGGGGAGCGCTGGAGGCGGCAAGAGCTGGGCCCGGCCCGCCTCTGCCTGGCCCGGCCCAGCCCTGCTCACAACGGACACGTGTCCTCGTACCCCCGCGGGCACGGTCAGCACGCCCCACTTGCCGGTGGTGCGGTCGGCGCAGCAGGTGACGCGGCCTCGTCCTCAGCTGCCAGAAGGTCACGTGAGCCCCAGGACGCTGCCCAGGCGGGAGACAGGGAGGGCGGGGCCCTGGGCGGGGGCGGTCGGCCCGGAAGCCCCGTGCGGCTGGGCCTGGACAGGCGAGCGCTGGCCCCTCCCCTGCCTTCCCGCCCCCCGCCGCTCAGCTGTGTCCACTCAGCCCCGCGGCAAAGCCCGGCGCAGAGGCCGCAGGCACGGCCATGCCGGACCAGGGCGCTTGGAGGCTCCCCTGGGGACCGGCGCCTCGGTGTCCTCACCTCTGAGCTGGGCGCGTGGGACTCCGTGTCCCGGGGCACTGGGCAGACTCCCACTGTCCCCCTGGGGAGCGGCCCCAGGTGCCAGGCCCTCGGCCCGAACCTAACGTGCGGGAAGGACACGCGTGCAGCGTCCCCATTCAGGGGCGGGGAGGTTGCCTGCACCTCCGGGGCCCGTGCAGTCGCAAGCGCCTTCGTGAGAGAGAGGCAGACCGGGGTGCAGAGGGCCCCGGGGTGCAGAGGGCCCGGGGTGCAGAGGGCCCGGGGTGCAGAGGGCCCCGGGGTGCAGAGGGCCCCGGGGTGCAGAGGGCCCGGGGTGCAGAGGGCCCCGGGGTGCAGAGGGCCCCGGGGTGCAGAGGGCCCGGGGTGCAGAGGGCCCCGGGT